GCTTTATTACTTTAATATATCTACCTATACATTCCTGAGGAAAGTAAAAAGCCGCATGCATGCATTACGGAGTTCTATTATCATTTAGGGGAAAAATTGCCCCAAAGAAACCGGTGATTGCCCCTCCAAAAACATCGAAAAAAAATTCGATGAGCTCAGTTCAAATGTTGACCAAAGCCCAGTGGATGACAAAAATCTGCTCTCGGACGAAAACGGAGTTAAACGAAGACATTCTCTCGATGATGAAGATGACAAGGAAGAAGGAGAGCTGAGCTCCGATGAGGAGGTTGAAGATAATGCGGATATTGGCGAGCCACCAATAAAGAAATCACATATCCAACCGGCAGTTAACTCAGCCGGGTTACAAGGTTTGTTTAGAAATTTCCCTGAAATCCAAGACTTATCATACAATACCACATATTACCACCCGAGGACCAATTTTACCTCTTCAATCTTTCGACCATGTTAGATTTCCCAAGGTCTGCTTGCTTCACATTTCAGTGCATTAAGATTCTGGAAACAAGAACTGCCTATTAATACCCGCGGGTTGGATGTAGTCGTATGTCGACTCTATATCGAATAGTACCCGCGAAGTGGATGCAATCTTATTTCGACTCTATATCGTATTTAAGATATTAAAGTAAAACCATGAAAGATTGCCATTCCACCCCATTTAAAAAAATTCACAATAGCTTCTGTGTCAAAAAGCAACCCCATGTCGCCAAAGAGTGACACTAAAATGAACTAAAACTAGACTACCTAAACATAAACAAAACAGAAACCGGCAAAATGATTTGTGGGGCCCACTAGGTATCTATTTCCCCCGCCCAACTGCTCAAAGTATTTTGTAGTTAAACATTTAATTCTTGGCTCCTGAGCGTAAATTAATATGTAATTCTGGCAGAATTAACCAAAAAATATTAAATTAAATAAGATTATGTTTATGTTAGTGTGCTAAATTCAATCAAATTCGATCAACATAAACTTCAACTGCGTAGAATACGAAAGCTAATCGAGGGAAATTTGACCTTATACAGGCGGAATTTAATAAAAACGGAAATTCGTCCTATTGGTGGAATTTAACGAAAAATTTTAAATTCAGGCTACCGAACATTTTCAAAGTAGTTTTTTTATTATAAGTCGACGGTCTTTTTGGCCTCTATAACCATTCTTGCTCAGGAAACTATAGTACACAACAAATAAATTCTAGTCAAGGCCAAAATTCGACATGAATTACTAAGATTTCCGCGGGGGTCAGTGTTGTATGTGGATAGAGCGCGTCTTACCGAGTAGCTATACCGGCAAACGGAAACTGGATGGGAATTGTAATTGCCAAAGGCCATAAGTCGGCACGAATTACCCAGACTTCCGTGAGGGGTCATTGTTATGTGTGGACGGACTGCGTCGTACTTGGGGAACAGCCGGTGCCAAGTTAGTAGAACAAAACATGTCTGCTACTACGAAATAAGTGAACCGTTATGCGAAATAAGCGGTAGTGAGCCCGAAACGTGACTGTCAGCAGCATCACCTAGGAAATATGATTTGTCTCATACACTGTCTGCCACATCGATTTTAGCCACGAAGAGTGAACCCTTGCTTCACGAACTTCCAAAAATTTCTGGACTCAAAACAGAAACCGAGTTGTCGAGTGAGCATGCCACCAAAGATGACACTGCTGAAGTGGCTACAAGTATTTCCTCTCCCACCGCAAAGCCATCGGTGCGTTTTAACAAGAATTCACCTGAAATTATTCATGTATGCTTGAATTGTGTTCCCCTGCTTTTTCAGCATTTTCATTCTAATTGCACACAGGCGTCCAGATATTAACGGTTGCT